GGGAAGTGAACTTAACAACATTAAGGCCATATCTCCATCCGTAAAAGTCGCGTCCATATTCCGCAAATTTGTCGCCAACTTAATTAAGCTGGTGATATGATCATTCATTGTGCTACCAGGAATATAAGTGAAGCGTAACAGTTTTCTTTTCATATAAAGTTTATTTTGATTATTTTTCTTCTAGAATTTCTCCTCCAATGAATTCCATAATTTATTTGCAGATGTTTCCTTCGTGTATGGATACTTTTGTTCTCTTGCTAGGTAAGATCGAATGGTACCGCAAGCAACACGGTTGATAATCTTCCAATCTTCTTCTCCTACACCGTCTGGTTTCTTTTCTTCTATGGCAATATCTAGCCCTTGTTGAAAAAGAACATGAAGGACCTCGCCTTGCCACATTCCGAAATGTCCTGACCTGTCAAAAATTTCAACTGCAAATTTTGCGTTTGACAAAATTCGTGTCATAAGCGAAGATGCCAATGATGACGTATTAATGACATTCAATGTGGACTCATCATTTTTATTGTCTCCCCTTTTTGCTACAAATACTATTTACTAGCTAACAATGCAAAGACCAAAGTAAATCTTTTCTGATGTGGAAGTTCAGATTGTGCTGCAACCACAGAGCATACTCAGATAATACCTTGGCTCTGATACCAATTGTTGCGGAAGCCGAATATATAGAGAGTGATGAAATCACAACTGCTATATCTAAATGTAGCTAATAAATAGTAGATGAGACAACAATAAAAAGAACACCAGGAATTAACGAGGTTCGACAAACTTTTATTTTCTTTTGCCTACTCCTCGGACACAACCAACCAATATTTATTTCACTCCAAAAAGAGTACAAGTGAAATACTACAAGAGAGAAAGAAGATCAAATGCCTTTGAAGATGAGAAGGCAAGTGAGAGGTGTGTTACAAATGAATTAGGAACTACCTATTTATAGGAGTGAATTCTTCCTATTGATGTCATCCATGACATCACAATGTGTCCAAAAATGTCAAGATTTACCTTGTGAAACCATTTTATAGTTCACCTAAATTTCACCTACAAAGGATGTTATCTTGACTTTTGTACCAATGAAGAATTATCTTCCTAACTACCAAATCTTCACATTAATTCATCTTTGAATATTGTCAAATTTAACATTAACTAGTTAAATGAAATAGAAAATCCTAAAAAAAACAATATTGTCCCACAACAACTTTGACTAATTATTATCTGGGTAAGGGACTTTAGTATAAAATTGTATAAGTATATTTTTAGATCTTCATTTTTGATAAGTTTAAACTCTTTTGTCAACATCCGGTTGCCATATACAATAATTATACATGTTAAAATTTGTAATAATAAACAAATAAAGAATTAGCATATTTTTTTTACTGTGAATTTTATTCAACTGTTGCGTAGTATTATACTAGTATATGTACCCGCGCGTTGCGCGAATATAATAAATATTTTATAAAAATATATATTGAGTTATAGTTTATATGGAATATAAATATCCAAAGAAAGTAAATAAACTATAAATTAAATGAAATACAATATATATATTTTGAATTTATTTTAATCAAAATATAAAGTTGTTTTGTGGTCCCAATAGTAATGTTTTTATAATTTTCATAATAAACATAAGCCACTCATAGTAATATATAATATAATATAATAAACTATATTAGGTATTGTGTATGTGAAATACTCTATTCGTCTTATCTTAGTTGATCACTATTAATTTTTTTACAGTGCTTAAAAAACATAAATAAGAAGATTATTTTTCAAGTTCACGCCTCAAAATACTTCTTGTATATTATACAAACAAATATGAATACTTTCAAAAATAAAATTAATTGCAAGAGTAGTAAAAAAAGTTATTAAAATTTTATTGATTTAGTAAAGTGATCAACTAATATAAATTAATTATATTTAGTATAATGATAAATTAATATGCAACAATTATATTTAATATAATAATAAACTAATATTCCATCAGTTCACTTTTAATTGTCATGTTTTTTTTAGAGTAAAACATAATAATTTTGACTAACAATTTACGATATATTTTTTCATCATATTAATATGCAAATAATGGCTATTTGTAGTACTTTTAGTATAGTTTTGGAATATAAAAATATTTTTCTTAAAATATCGATTTAATATAATCATATTTTATTTAAAAATTGGTCAAATAAACTTTCGAAAATTAAATATGACAATTAAAAGTTGACGAAGGAGATATAAAATGAAGGAAGTAATATAAAAGAATACAACTTTTTAGGTATATTGATTAGTGTGCCTTAATTGTATAGTAGACTTCAATCCATCTTTCTTTCGTTATTTTTAATTAAACAAAATGGCAATGTGCCAATTCATTGAATAACAAAAAAATGTAAACAAAAAGTCGGAGGAAAGTGTCAGGTAGTAGAAAATAAGAAAAAACAAAATGAAAACTTACAAAAAATGGATCTATCTAGATTGTGGAAGGAGACCAAACTTGCACCGATGGAATATGATTTTTGAGATTAGGAAAGTGAGATTCCTCTTTAGATCGTCGCCGGTCAGAGCTACTCCGTCATCTATTAGCTCATGTGTGCTTTTCCATCTCACTGTAAGTGTTGTTCCTTTGTTTTCTTTATATTCTTCTCTTACCCTTTATCAATTGGGTTCTTTCTAATTGTTAATTTTTTCAGATGCTTCCTTGTAAAAAGTTTCTGGAAGAACGAAATATATAATTTAAATCTCATCACCATAACTTTGGAGAAAAAAAATTCTCATTTCAACATTTGAACATTCCAATTAGAACATAGCCTAAGAAAAACTTTATTCAAGCAGGTATCACACTGGAAATAAGATTTTGATCGGAATTGTATTTAGATCTAGAGTCGTTCCGTCAACAATCATATGTTTCGTGAAATGGTGAGTTCATATTATTTTTTTTGAATTGACCTTGTTTAATAAAAACTTCGATTAAAGAGTACTAGTATACGTGCCCGCGTGTTGCGCGGATAATATAAAGAATTATTAATCATATATATAATAATGACCTATTTCAATATATCATTTCTCATTTTTTTAATCAAAAACGTTTTTTGTTATCTATTTCTTAAACGCAATATAATTAAATCTCCATGAAATTGAAGAAGAAATCACGTGATCATTTGATAACTTGTACAATATACTTGCTTTTGTTTATTACTATATTATTAACTACTTAATATCTTGACATTATCGACTAAATTTTGATTATACATTTATTCCTCCTAAAATATTAATAACTAATTTTTCTTTAATTAAATATGTTATTTAAAAAAAAAAAAAAAAAACACAAATCTCCTGTAATTTTTTTAACTGTCATTGTTAAAAATTAGTTTTTTGTTTTCTTTACATTACATTTACATCACCCTATTTTTAAAAATAATTATATACTTTTTAAAAATAATGAAATAGATGTCAATCAATAAAGATAAGTATTCTAATTATGATAAAAATAAGAATTCAAAATAACATAAACGTTAGCCACATGTATAATCATTTAGATTTTAAAAAATGAAAAAAAGTTAAATTAATTGTGGTAACTATATTTAAAAATATGATGTTAAATAAAATACTTAATACTAATGTAAATCCTATTAATTTTTTTAAAAATAAGTATAAAGAACCAAAACTAAATCCTATTGTATATTTTCGTGATTTTTCTAGTGGATTATATTAGGATTTTTTTGATTTTTTTAATCTTTTAATTAATTTATTTATTTTCCATTTTCCATTATCTTTAGTATGTAGTTTACAGGAATATCCATCTTCATTTTTATAATTTTATTTAAGACTAAATAAAGAATATTAGTTTCTATTGTTTGTTATTTGGAGCGAATATAAATGAATCATTGTGTTCCTATGATTTAGTAGAAGAGATTGCCCACATATTTAAAACTTACCTTAATAATCTTTAAAAATCAATTGCAGTAACAAATGGAGATAAATTAATTAATTTATAATCATAAGAGATAAAAATAAAAAAATCATACAATTTTCATCCATTTTAAATATTTAATTAAACGATTTTCAAACTAAAAATTCAAGAACAATTGTAGCGGGAACACGTGACTATATATATATATATATTATTTATTGGATTTCAAAATGAAAATCGATGATCAAAATAAAAGTTTACTCTTTAAAAGTATTTTTATAGTTATTAACTTTATTCAATAATAGAGTGACACTTTAAATATGTGTAAATAATAAATTTTGTTGATTTTTTTATGCAAGTATTTTCACCTATTTTTATAGTATTTCTGGAATTAAAATAAAATAAAATGTGCAATATATAAATATCATATTTTTGAAACTTTTTTGAATTACACCAAGGAGCATCAAATGTTGTCAATTTTTTTTTTTAAACTCCATACTCTAAAATGCAACAAACTTCAAAATTTAGTATCTTCACTCATATTTTGTATATTTTTTCTGATCTAATTTTCTTATACATAAAATACATTATAAATAAGATATAAATATAGATAAACAAATAAAGTAAATATCTAAATGCTTATGAGACAAAAATAGATAATAAGATGTAATAAATAAACAATTCATACCAGAGTACAAATTGAATTATATTTGAGAGAGAAAGTAAGTAGTTTATTTCTAATTTTTATTTTTAATATCACAACTTCAATATATTTGTGAATATTTCCTCAATCGATGTGTTTTATCATCTTCATATGAGATTTAAAGAGAAAGTTAAAAGATGAAGAAGTAAAAAAAAAGAAGAAAAAAAACTTGTATTAGATAGATTACCAAAAAATCATAGTTGTTAAGTTACTTTTCCTCATAAAATAATTCATCCTTGATTCTGAATATCTACTGTATCATGCAAAAAATATTCGAAAAAATTTAACATTGAAGAACACAATTTATTATATTTTGAAAGTAATTGTATTATGAAAATGATAAACTTTAACACTGAAAAATTAGTTATAAGTTTAAAGTTTTGTGTTTTATCATTATTGGATAAATTTTTATGCCGTCTAGTGCATTGTGATTCAAGCAAGTCTCCATCCTCAGTATATTTTCAATATATATTGCATACAGAATGACCTCAAATATTCATACAATATATCTAGAATCTAACAAAAAATTAACAAAATTTCTGATCATAACTGAATTGTCCTCAATTGAGACCGTAACTAAATCATACTTATCAAAAACGATCTCTTCACACGAGTAGAGCGACACATATATGCATGCCCAAAACACTGCTTACTCTGCGCAAGAATGTTGGTGACTTCTTTGTGTTGCCTTACCATTGCAATTTTGCAATTTAGTGTGAGTTTGATTAGTATGTAGAATGTAGATGCCAGTTTTTTGAAAAAACTTTTTAATTGGATTTATTTATTTATGAACATTTAAAGATAAAGTGTACATGAGCAGTTGAGTAGTTTTAGGTACCCACTTTCAAATTCAAATAAAAAAAATAACCACTTTGTCATGTTATCCCTTTTTTTTTTCTACGTAGGTTAATTTGAATTTTTCTGTGTTTTCCATTTTTTTTATCCGTGTTTTCCATTCTGTTTTTGTAATTTTATTTTAAATTTTTTCTATTTTCTGATTTTTTAATATATATATTTATAAGATTTTTATTTAATTATTATAATTTTATTTTTATGTTTTTACGATCATCAAACTTGGTGGGAATTTTTTTACCGTATTTAATATATATTCATTAAACTAAATGTACAGTTAAAATATCATCAAACTTTGTGGGAAATTTTTTTAACGTATTTAAGTAATAATTTTTTTAAAAAAATAAATTAAAAACAGTTTTCCAGTTACATGGGACTAATTTTCAAAACTATTTTTAAATGATTTATATTTAATTATTTTAAAATTTGATTTTTATGGTGCTGACACGTAGGCGTTTTTTCATCTCCTATTATAGATTTTTAAATTTTAAATTTTAAATTAATTAAATTTGATAATTCATAAACTATAACTTCTACTGTTATAAAATTTATTTTTAAAAAAATTAGACAGTTAGCATTTTATTAGGAACAAACATATTTAATTTATTAAAAAAAAAAAGAAATCAATACAACAGTTTTAACGTAAACATTTTTAAAATTGATTTCTAATTTATGTTTTTTTTAAAATTTTTGTTTTTTAAATTGTTATTTATTATTTAATATTTCTACTAATTTTGTAGTGCTGACACGTAGGCATTTTTTCTTCTCCTATTATATATAAATAGATTATATATAAATAGATTAGCATGCATCATCTTCTTGTCATGGAGTTAATTTTGAAAAATTTATCAGTTGATGTCTTCTTCAGCTCTATTTTGCGTCGATGTTACTCTATTTGGGATGGTCAACTAAGGTATTATATTTTAAATTTAATTTAATTAGTACATGCATGCTATAACATAGTTGTAATAAGCTTATGTTGATTCAGATTTTGTTATTTTGCTTGGAAATTGAGAGTTTATGATGTGGTCGTATCAGTTTTTATGTTCTTTGCAATGTCAGGTTAGATCTCTATCTTTATTTTTATTTTTCTGCTTAACCAAGTTGTTAGAGTAGATTGTGATGAATTATTGCTTCTTGAAGGAGCACAGAACTGATTATTTGTTTTTAAAAATTCGAAAAGATGTCTTACATTTAAAAATATGTAGTTAAGCTATTTTATTTTCCTCTCAATTTGGTTCTTTTTACAGCAGTCTCTATATTTTAATCTGATTTATATTGATATTTTCTGTAGTTTCAATGTGCTTATACCTATATTATGATTCATGGTTCAGATGAAGAGCTTAATGATAAAATTCATATGCTTGATAGATTATAATTCAGTTTACTAAAATTAACATAACGTAAATAATTGTGTGTTTAGTTGGTTAAACTTATTGGAGTCTATTTTTAATGTGTTGCTTCTTTGAAATATCTAAAGCATATATGAACTCCTTTAAATACTTGTTACAGGATAGCACGATTAAATCTAAAGTTTAAAAAGTATATAGAACCAAGCCCTCCATTGCATATATATAGTTTAGTTATAAAAAAATTATGTCAACATGCGGTTCCATTTAATATAATGAAAGAGACTGATACTATCTTCAAAGCACACTCAATTACTTAAGAGTGAAATTGTTCACTATATGCATAAGTGTATTCTTCCCCTCCGTTTTTTCAAACTCTTGATACCAATTTTTCAAATTCAAGAACTCAAAATATCAGTTGTATTATCTGCCACTGTCAATAAAAGAGTTAACAATATTAATCTATTTAAAGTATTTTAAAATATTATAATTATTATTATTCTTTATAAAACAAAGTAATGATAAAAGAATAATGGAAATATTAGAGAAGACTAAAGGAAATATTAGAGAAGTATAATGAAAAAATTTGAGATTAAAATTTTACCTGAAAATGTATAATGCAAATACTAAAGATTAAAATTGTACATGAACATTCATTATCAGTATTTGTCCTTTTAGAACTCTTATTTCTTCTGATTGCATATAACACTTTTTAACGTTTCTTGACTGTCATTAGCTTGAAAAAACAATGCAAAAAAAGGTAAATCAATCAATTTACATGATAAAAATTTAATTTAAAATTAATAAATTTGTATATTAATTAAAGTAATCGCATAACATTTTATATCATATAATGTTATCTTTAGGTGTACTACACAGAACACAATAATATTAAAAATTATTTAGTTGGTTAAAATAGCATAAATGATACCATAATTATAATAACAACTTCATCAGAATTGTTTTATAATAATCATCAACAATTACAGTATATATAAAACATCCCAAAGAATCTGCATATTACAATAGATTTTCGGAACACTTCTTTTATATACTACATTTATAGCCTCATCAGTTAATTGTCCGTCATCATTGTAACTCAGTATTTTTTAATCCCTTTCTACTTGTTACTCTAGAAACAGCTACATAAAGTTGTCCATGGGTAAACACTGGTTTCTTCAAAAATAATCCAACATGAGATAAAGACTGTCCTTGGCTCTTGTTGATTGTCATGGCAAATGATACAGTTATAGGAAACTGTCTTCTTTGAAACTTAAATGGGATTCTAGCATCTGAAGGTGTTAAATTTATTCTTGGAATAAATACCTTCTGTCCAGCCATCTGTCCAGATAAAACCTTTGCTTCAATTACTTGATTTCCAAGTTTAGTAACAATCAACCTAGTGCCGTTACATAGTCCTGCTGCCTGATCAATATTTCTTAGTAACATCACTGGTACTCCAACTTTTAAAGTGATTGAATGATTTGGAACTCCAGAACATTTAATAGTGTTCAAAAAATCTGGGGTGTGGACATGTTCCAAAGCTGAATAAGTATGATTAGACTTGCATATTTTGTCAGAACTCAAATATGATTTCTCAGGATTATGATTCAAGGAGATCATATATTGATTGATTGATTCCACCATATCAAGAGGAGGAGTAAGAATGGCTCTTTGTTGTAGGTATCCAACATCATTACAATTAGTACTGAAATCTGGATACGTACTTTCCACAATAGCTGCTATTGGATCAGTATATTCAGTTATTAGAAGATCTTTTGGTATTAAACTTTATCAATTCCATCAAATGAATTACCAATACTACCATCCCCAACTGCCAATATCCAATCAGAAAACTCTTGCAACTCTTTTAGATCAGTATCAGCGTCACTGTTTTGCAACCTCATATTCTTTGTTAGTGTTAATAATTCACAATGGGGCCATAAATATGAAGAGTTGAGAGTTGCATTAACAATATCTTGGCGACTACCTTTTGGGATCACAGGAAGAATTTGTCTAAAGTCACCTCCAAGAACAATTGTTTTACCACCAAATGGTAATTCTGACTTAGTTGCGTCTTTGTAGCCAATAATATCTCTTAAAGTCTTATCAAGAGCTTCAAAACAATGTTTATGCATCATTGGAGCCTCATCCCAAATAATCAACTTAGTCTTGATTAGCAAATGTGCTAAAGGAGTACCTTGTTTTAAATTGCATGTTGAATCTTCAGTTATATTTAGCGGGATAACAAATCTTGAATGTGTTGTTCGGCCACCTGGTAATAAAAGAGATGCAATCCTGCTAGATGCAACTGTTAAAACAACATCTCCTTTGGACCTTATGGCAGCTGATAAAGTCTTCCAACTATAAGTTTTTCCTGTTCCTCCAAATCCATATAAAAAGAAAAATCCACCCATATTTTCATTAACTGTTGCCATAATTTTTTTATACACTGATTTTTTCTCATCCGTTAAATTTAATACCAATTGTTGATGTTCATCAGCTAAAGCTCATTTATTGTAACGCATTTCATCACAAATTAATCTATTAGTGATGTCAACATCATCCTCAGTGTAAACAGGTATTGGCATTGTAGGAAAATCTAAAAAACTTCTTCCACAACTTTTTAAAATTTTTTCTATCTTTTGCAAGCAACAATTCTTCAAATCAGCATCTGATAGATAAGCTTCCGAAAAAATAATATATATAATAAATTAATATTTAAACGTAAATATAATAAACTAATTAATCAAACAAAAATAA